TGGTTAGCTTCCACCCGTTGCTCCTTGTCCTGCCTTCAGGCGCTTTGGAAAATAGCTTGACTCCCTCTTCTTTGTGGCAGCCCCTGAGATATTGGAACACTGCTATCATGTCCCCCCTCGTCCTTCTCTTCATTAAACTAGACATACCCAATTCCAGCAGCCGTTCCTTATATGCTTTAGCCTCCAGTCCCCTAATCATCTTTGTAGAAGTTGATTGTAGAAGAAAAAAGAAAAAAAAATCAGTGTGTAATTTGTGGGAAGCAGAAGTGATGGAGGAAGCTGGCTGGTATGGCCGTGAATGGAAGCAGTACCAGGGAAGAGGGGTCAATTAGGTGTTAATCCCAGTAAGGGAACTTGGGAAAGGCAGCTGTCACCTCATCTTGCCTTCATAATAGCATTTGCACCCTGACAACTTCTCACACTGAAACTGACCATTGTCTTAACTCTGGATCTCCAAACACATAGAACGCTCAGAGGACATGACGGTCTCTCCAGTTGACCAATAGCAGAATGACTAGAACTCCCTCCACTCAATTCCTCTGTAATGATCATACAGAAACATAAATTCTAAATCCCTCTGAGAAGTTGTTCTGATGGGGAGCTATGTGAGGTGAGCTTGATTGGAAAAATGCAAATAAAGCACTAATGTCCTCTGATGGCTTCTCGGCCAATTCAACATCAACCCTTTCATACGTTTAGAAACTACTATGAGTTGTACAAGTGAAATCGCTTCTTGTTGCTGACAATTTTTCCACCAGCTATTTTATTCTTTATAGTTGTGACTGATGCTTATCGATCTTATTCTGGCTGGTGTGCAAGAGTGAAGAAAGATAAATTCTAAATATTGGAAACCTATAGATCAGTGGTGGCGAACCTATGGCATGGGTGCCAGAGGCGGCATTCAGAGCCCTCTCCGTGGGCACGCGCACCATCGCCCCAGTCCTAGGCCTTCAGCTGGGTTTTATAAAACCTTTTTGCTTTAGGCCTCCGCCGCTGTGTGCAAAAAAAAAAAAAAGGTTCAATCAGTCAATTTCAACTTCTCACGGAACAAAAAAAAGATCTTGCAAAGTTGGAATTGATTGATTAAACTTTTTAGTCCCACCCAGTCTGCCGTTACCACCGCAGCCACGCCCACCCAATTGGCCATGCCCACGCGCTTGGCCACACCCAGCTTATGGGCCACACCCACCCGGCACTCGACGATGAATAAGTGGGTTTTGGGTTGCAGTTTGGCACTCGGTCTCTAAAAGGTTCGCCATCACTGCTATAGATCAAGATACTATGGGCTGCAGGTGAGTTCAGGGGCAGGTAGCAGGGGAGGCATGCGATTTTGTCAGTGAGAAAAACCAACGACCCACAAGGACTGCAGAGACAGTGATTAAACTACTTTGGATTCAAAAGCAAGTGTGACGAGATCAGGCTGGTCCGGAGCTGATGCCGGGGGGAGGAATTCAGGACACTGGTATGAAAATACCTACAGGCAGCATGTGAGGAGTGAATCTCTGCTCCACCAATAAAGGGGAGCTCACCCTTGAACTGCTGCGAAAACGGAACAAATGGCAGCCATGTTTCACTGCTCCAAAAATGATACGTAGTATGTGATGCCACATACTTTCCTTGTGTCTTACATGAATATGATCAAATCCTGCATCTGCTTTCCCTCTGTTAAGTCATTGTTGGAATATGCCCAAATGAGAGCAGTTGCTCTTGTATCTGTTAGAAGGCACTAGCAAAATACTCTGCCTGCTCGCTGGGATACAGTTGGGATCAAACTTATGAGCAGTGCAGCATTGCTTGTTGTGCTAGCCTTCATTTCCAACCACGGTCATTGAACTGATTGAGTGGAAGAGCCTTAATCAGCCTGATATATGATGCCTTGTAGCTTGCTTGAACAGTAAACGGTCCTGTTTCCTTTGCTTCCCCATTTTCTCATCCAGTTAACAGAAGACTTTGAATGTACAAGTTGTGTCAGCTGCTGCTGAATTCTAGTGATTGTTTATTATGAATTATGGAATTCTTTGTCAGTGCTATGCCCTGAGATGATTGTTTGATTCTTCTATTTGTTTGTTCTTACAAGGTTTAAATAATGCTGTGTTTCTCTGGTTCTTTGTGAAGAGGGAATTGTTTTAGGGGAACATTTTCACACGGTGTACACCTACATTGTTTGCTAGTGAGATCTTATACGCATATTCTAGATTGTCCCTTTGAAGCATCTGTTGAACATGGTAACTTGAACAGAGAGAGAATCACCATACTCAAGATTTTTTCATCTGTTCTCCTGAATGCTGAAAAAAAAATATGTTTGGATTTCAAGTGTAGCTCTTCAGTTCTGTGCTGTTGCGTATAGGTTACTTGTACATTGTGTGCGTGGAATAAAGTGCTGTGTAACAAACGTGTAGGGCCACTATTACACAAAGCAGGCAACAGTGAATTATTACTTATTTCGAAGAAGGGAAGTATTACACATTCCTGCCACTACCAAGAACGACTATTGATTGTAAAACGTTCCAATTGCTGCTTTCACCCCAAGGGCAAGCGGTAGATACACAACAGTTCCTACTGAAGATCATCTTATTACTTATTTATTTATTTATTCAGGGTGATTGAAAGTATTATGTAACTCTGAGGTGTAAGTTGGCTGCAAGGTCAGCCAAACTTAAAGAGAAACATTCTCTGGGTAGAAACGGGAGGAAGTGCCTCAATCTGACGATATGGTAGATCATGTCAAGGGAGGAACTAGAAAATTAGTTTAATATTTAATTGAAAATCACTTGAGTGGAGGAAGGAGGAATTTTATTTTTCGTCTTTTCCAACTTCTATAAACTTATTATGGAAATGTCATAAAAAGTGGGAGACACGTTTGCCTGTGATGCTTTTGGCCTTGCAAGCAAGCCATGGGTGCACATTGATGGAGAGAGCCATTAGATTTTGTGTGCACCCAGAGCTCATGTGTGACCGCAGAGCTCATGTTTGCATTTTGATCCGCATGGCCCTCCTGGGTCATGGAATTGGACTTCTCCCATAGTGCCTGCAAAATCAGGCAGTCATATACTCAGTCTCCATCCATCCCAGAAGGAGAAATCGGCAGGGGAAAGGACATTCTTCAGGGCAGAAACTTGCACCCTATTTCACTATGCAAAGTTTGGGTTGTGATTATGGGATCTAAGACGGAATTTGCAGGGCAGTCATAGGATGTAGTTGCTCTGTATCAATTTTATTTGTTTATGTCCATCGTGCAAAAGCAGTTTAGGGTGGACCCTGATATCCATATTCTAAATATTCTCCTCCTAACAGCTGCCCGTGATTTGGAGGCAGAAGCAGAAAAACAAACGCTGACAGCAGTGACAGAAAGTGTAGGAGTTAGAACTTTCACACAATGCTGCTATGTATATGCAGAGTTGTTGTCTGTCATGGCAGCTGGCGAGTTTTGTTTTGTACCATAACATTCTGAACAAAACAAAAAAAAAAAGTGCTCTGCCTTAAACTAAAGGGAAAGTTGCTCTACCAAAATGAAAGAGGAGCTTCAGTCTTCAAGCAATTTATTTACTAACCAGGTCCTGCAATTATTATTTTTCCCAGACAGACCCTATGCCAAACAGTGAACTGCAACCCCCAAAGGAGCATCTTCTCTCTTATACCAAAGATCCTATTTGTTTAAAAAAATAAATAAATTAAATAGTGATGCTTGCTACAATTGGGCTTGTATCACTAGGTAGACATGAAAAGACAGGAATCCAAACTATTCTCAAGGGGGAAAGACATTTGGGGTCCCTTTCCAGTCAACCTTTACTCTTGGATGTGCCTAGGTTTTGGCCAAGATATGCAATTCTCTAAGCACTTCAGGACTCAGAAGAAGGTTAGGTGTAAAGAACTATGATGCCAGGATGTACTGAGACCCTGGATGGGTCCTTAGAGTTTGTTGTCTTTGCATTTGTTTTATG